AAAATATTATCTAAGAATATGACTAAGAGAGAAAATGAAATTTTAGTTAAACTTACAGGTTTTCAGATAGTGAAAAAAGTTAAATATTTGGGAGTATATATAACTGCTTCTAATGAAAAATTATATAAGAACAATTATGAATTATTATGGACAAAAATACAAAAGGATTTAAATGATTGGAAAAAAATTACAACTGTTGTTGTTGGGGAGAATTTCAGCTGTAAAAATGAATGTTCTACCAAAGTTTCTTTTTTTGTTTCAAATGATACCCATTTTAAAAAAAGATTCTAATTTGTATGAGTGGCAGAAGGGTATCAATAAATTTATATGGGCTGGGTGAAGTTTAAGATTTTGCAAGATGCTCGAGAAAGAGGAGGGCTTAAGGCACCTAATTTGAAATTATATTATGATGCAGCCACACTAACTTTGATAAGTGATTGGCTTAATCTAACAAACAAAAATATTCTTTCTCTTGAAGAGTGGGATTTATTATATGGTTGGCATGCGTATTTAATTTTCAATAAGAAAGTAGATCGAGCTTTTAAATCGCATATTTTAAGAAATGCCTTACTTCGAGTTTGGAAGAAGTATTATTACAGGTTAAATTACAAAATACTTATTTGAGGGATTCCTGGACATGCAATTGAGGGGATTTCTAAGGGGATGAATTTTGAAAAAATTCTGTATAAAGAATTACTTATTTGGTCAGGTACTGAGTGGCAATTAAACTCTTTAGATGTATTAAGGCAAGAAAATATTTTACAGTCATGGTTCCAGTATTTACAAATAGTGGATAGGTGGACTTTAGATAAGAAAGTAGGAATAACATTAGGAGATGAAAATTTGGTAATTCAGATTAAAGATCAGAATCAGGCTCACATAAAAATAATTTATAATGCATTAATAGAATTGGATTCGGAAACGGAATTGGTTAAAGATTGTATAGTTAAATGGGCTCAGATTATCCAGGAACTGATTCCATTGGATTTATGGGAGATAATTTGGATCAGAAATGTTAAATTTACACAGGCTCAAAATTTAAGGGAAAATTTTTACAAATGTTTTAGAGGTGGCATTTGGATCCTAAAAAGTTGTCTTGTATGTATCCTAATTTACAGCCTAAATGTTGGAGATGCGGTAGTTCTGACGCTACTTATGTTCACGTTTGGTGGACTTGTAAAAATATTAAGGCTTTTTGGATTATGATTTGGTGGAACATTCAAAATATTTTTAAAAGGAAGATAAAGTTTACTCCTCAACTATTTTTACTAGGGATTTTTGAGGATTTTGATGTTAAAGAAACTATTTTAATGTTGAATTTAATAACAGCAGCAAAGCTATTGGTAGGTCAATATTGGAAGAAAGATTCGTTGCCTACTATAGAAGAATGGACACTTAAGGTTTCTAATTTAGCAGAAATGGCTAAAATTTCTGCTTATTTAAAGGATCATACTCAAGAAAGATATATTATGGTATGGAGAAGATGGATAGATTATATTCAGATTAAATATGAAACTAAAAAGTTCCATTTATTTTATGATTAAATTTTAAATAATAATTATTATTAATAGCATTTTATAATGGAAATTATTTAGTTTATTTACTGTTATTATGGTTCTTTATAATAATTGTTTTAAAATGGATTTGTTTATAATATTATGATATTAAGGTTTAAAGGGAGTTAAGGGTTAAGTATGAATTTAGTTATTGTATAATTTGTTAAATTTAATTAGATTTTGTTTAATATGTTTGTAATAACCCTGTACTCGGCTCTGGGAAGTGGGGGGGGGTAGAGGGTGGGGGTGGGTGGGTTTGTGGGTTTAAAATTTTTTTTGTTAATTGTCAATAAAACTTTTTCAATTAAAAAAAATGCCCTACAGGGCAGACCAGACCAGGAAACCAAAACCAAGAGTGCCAATATGACCTTAATTGGAAGGCTGCAATAACAGAATCTTGCAAGCCTGAAACCAATTCCTCCTGCCCTGTCTTTATGTTCTAGAGAAATGGGGAGGATATATTCTAAGATACTTTTTCCACCCCATTTCTGATTTGGACTCAAATTTTGTTTATTAGACAGTTGTCTAGGCAGCTTTCTTTCTCTCATATCCCATTATACATAGTCCTTTCTTTTTGTGTCATGTTTGTTTGATTGTTATAATATTGCAAGGGGAGAATATACTGTTTGCTACTTATAATATAAGTTAGACCAGGGCTTTTCAACCAGTGGTACAGGTACCATCTGTGGTACATTGGCACCTGGCAGGTGGTACGCGACCATCCTAGAAAAGTGGTAGCGGGGGGGGGGAATGAGCTGAACCAATGGCAGCACCACACAAGCCTGAGCAAGAGATGTCTGGAGCTGCAGGGCTGTCAGGGCTCAGCGGAAGCATCAGGATCAGTGCCGCTTTCCAGCTGATCGGCGCTTCTTCGGGGCTGTCAGGGCTCAGTGGAAGCACCAGGATCAGCTCCAGGCTCCAGCTGGAGCCTGGCGCTGATCCTGGCCCTTCTGCTGAGCCCAGAAGAAGTGCCGATCAGCTGGAATGTTGCAGCATCTCCAGGGTCTTGTGATTTACATTCAGATGCTTGGCAACTGATTCATATTTATGATGGTCATAGTGTCCCAGGGTCATGTGAAGTGACCAAAACCTGCTGCAACCACCCAGCAGATGGGTGGAATAAAAACCAAACACCTCCCACCCCAACCCCTCTGCCAGTCCTCAACAGAAATGCTCACAACAATGAAAACCTCAGACAGGAGGAAGAACGCGGCCGGGTGGGCAGGTAGGTGTCTTACTCGCTGTGGCTTGGGGGGCACCTTTTTCAGTGCCATTGTAACTTCAAACAGTCACTAAGCAAACTGTTGTAAGTCGAGGACTATCTGTAATTTATCACTTTTTTCCTTTTTTTTTTGGTCATCAAGTTTTTGACACCTTGCTAGGTGACTGGTGGTATTCGGATATTGCCATATCCTAAAAGTGGTACAATGGGTGAAAAGGTTGAAAAGCCCTGAGCTAAACCCATTTTGCTCTATGAATGAAGCATAGGTAGTTCTCAACTTACGACCATTCATTCAGTAAATATTCAAAAGTATGGCACTGAATGAAAGGAACTTATGACAGTTTTTCGAGTTCCAGATGTTGCAGCATCTCCCCTACAATTCTGGTTCCAATTGCCATCATAAGCTGAAGACTACTTGTATAATTATTTTGTATAAGTATTTTTTGAAATTATGTTTCCCACCTATCAAAGATATCTTATTTTTCAGAGGCATTCACATATCCATTCCCACTGTAAAAATTAGATCAGTTATAGAATTGATCAAATAAATGCAACACAAGATAAGAAAAAGTACTGTAGTTGAGACTCAGGATTTATAACTAAAGCCAGGGAATCATCATATATGGTCTCAGCTAAAATAGATTTAGAGGTAAGAATATAATAGGCTAAGCCAGTGATGGCAAACCTTTTAGAGACCGAATGCTCAACCCTCCTGCCCCGCAGGCCACCCACTGCCTCCATGGCCTGCCGCAGATCGCCCAGGTGGCCCAGCAGCACCATGGTGGTCACGCCCTCTGCCCACACCCCACAGCATCAGCTGCATATGACGGGGCACGAGGGCGGAGTCTTGTCCTCGCTACCAGGCTGCCATGTCCTTGGCTGCGCTGTTCCGTGTGGGCTGCACCCGGGGGAAACTTTCCTCTAGGGGGGCTGCTGGTGAGGAGGGGGATGTATGGGGATGTGGGGCTGGGGTGACGGCCTGCGTGCCCAGAGAGAGGGTTCTGAGTACTGCCTCTGTCATGCGTGCCATAGGTTCGTCACCATTGGGCTAAGCATTAAAAGAATTAATATTATTTACTAAAAATATTATCTGCAAAAATCAATGTTTGACTAAAAAAATCCCTTTTATTTAACAGTAATTGTATTAGCAGGACTTTGGGGGGCAGCTCATGGAAATCTCAATTATTTATACTATTGTGTAATGTTTTGCCCAAAGTCAGAGAGGCATACTGAAACCATTTTTAGATCATTTAGTTTAGAAGTGCAGAGACCTGCACAAAAAAATTGCAAAGTCAAAGGAAAAATAAAATAGACCAATTAGTAAAAGAATATAATTAATTTAATGTAATGTAATTTTAAAAAATATATAGTTAAGAATATTGCATTTAACAATTTTTCCTCCATTTGATCCTAAAAAGTAATCCTTCCCACCACATCTGAAAACATTTCTTTGTTTTTTAAATTTTTATTATGTTTTTTAAAAGTATAAAAAAAACAAAGAAATCAAAGAAAAAAGTTAAAAAGGAAAGGGATAAGGAAAAGCAAAATTGAGGCCTGAAAACAAAAAAGAAAAAAACTATAGAAAAAGATAACTTTTAACTTTTTTCGATAGGATGAAAATTTAAAAACAATGCCCTTTTGAACTACAATAAACCATAGCAAACAAATCTTTTATCACCACCACTATCATAAAAACTCTTAAGTTTAAATTTCATTTTTTTAGTTTCAAATAAAAATAGCAAGAATGGTTTTCAAGTGGAAACCAAATTAAATAGTCATCAAAGCAGTCAATTTTGCCTTATCATCATTAATTTATTTATTAATTCTTCCATTGTTAGTATATGTGATTTCTTCCATCTCTGCACATAGAGAAGCCTTGCTGCTGTTGTCATATATAAAAACAAAGTTACATTTTTTCTATCTGATTGTCAATCAAACCTAAAAGAAAAGCCTGACTTCAATTATACATTCAGTTTAAGAATTCTCTGAGTTAAAATATGTAACTGATTCCAATAAGTCTTAACTTTCTTATATGTTGAAATAACTTTTCTTTATAAGCCTTTGTTCGTACGATTTATATCATCTCATTAACTTTTCATTTTTCAAAATTACCCCAAAAGACATTGATGGCCTTTATCAAGCAATGTATAGGACTAACACTTAAGTCACACTTGATATTCTCTTCAAAACAAAAATTGAAATAATTCTATTTTTACTTTTAGACACTATCTGGTTTGCCAGATCAAGATTCTTTCTATGATGTTATTGACTGTCTAGAAGAGCTTGGGATGGAAATTATTTCCCAGAAGCATCTGAACAAGAAAGGATTAGATTTGGACTTAGTAGAGCAATTCAACATTTATGAGGTAATATAAAATGTCCTTCTCCTTTACAGTTTGGGAATATTTCATAGATGAGTTTGCAGGAAAAGTACATTTGTAGTACTACTTGCCTATTTACTTTTATTCGGAGAGGCAAAGATATGCATATGCACTACAGATGCAGAAACATAGTAGTATATTTTATTGTAAAATGCATTTTTTACTAGGCTGGGATAATACCCAAATGTAAGCAAGCGTATTTATTTAACTGTGTGACTACAGTTGAACTGGGTTAATATTGATAACTGTAATATTGATGCAGTACATTAGTTTTACACTAATAGGAAATAAAAACATACAGCATTAAGAAAAGGATCTGCTTCGAAGTATTCCACATGCATGATTATTATTCAGAATGATGCATTAATTATATAGTAAGTTCTTTTATCACTTTATATTAATGATATTTCCCACTAGACTTCCAGCTTTGTTTCCCATCTTTCTTTATAAAGAGCATATTCTTTATAAAGAGCATATTATTAGCACTATCCAAGATCTCTGTCTCTTCTTCCTTGAACCAGTCATCTCTTCTTTGAGTTGGCCCATGTGGGAGTGCTCAAGGAGCAGTTATTCAGTGCCATTCCACCTTCCTTTTCTTCCCTCATTGCAGCACTGGATATATCAGATAGTAACTCATAGGATAGAAGCATCACTCTGGAGGTTAATGTTGCCCCATTATTTAAGAGGAGGGGGAGACTACAGGATTCATGAAGTGGGATAAAATGTGACTTCCCATATTCCCTGTCCCACAACTCTTTGCACAGCTTTTCTCTTGGAGTAAGAGACAAATTACAGCAACTTTATGAGGACATGGGGCACATTGGCTTCTTTGATGATTGATTATGTATGAAATCAGCTTTTATACATTTGCAAAAATCAAGCAAAGAAGAAGTAATGTGAAACAATCAGTGATAAACTATTTAAGGAAGGTCCATTATTGGGTTTAGCTTCTTTGCTTATGCTGTCAATATAAATGATAATAGTGTTGATAGTACACATCCCTGTTTTATTACGGCTATTTCTGTGAAGGGTTCCAATGTTTGTTGGTTTGTTGTAACTACACTTCTGCAATTGCTGTATAAACTTTTGCATGCTTTAATAAGATGTTTACTTACTCTATATTTGGTCAATGTTCTCTATAGCAATTTCCTATCAGCTCTATCAAATTCTTTCTCTTGGTCTAGAAATGCAATAAAGAGATCCTTCTGTATTCTCTATTCTTTTCTATTAATTGTTTAAGCACAAAAATTGCATCTATGCAGCTTCTATTTGTTCTAAAACCTATCTGCTCTTTTGCTAGTTGTAGTTTTTTAATTGGTCTTAATTTGATTTCTGTTATCTTGATGTACATTTTCCCTACATCAGGTGTCTACAATCCCCATACCACAGTCCAGTACTGGGCTGCGACCCATTGAGAACCAGGTCGCACAAGCAGCGCACAAGCACTCGAAGCTGCATTTTCACAAATAGCACACAAAACCATCCCCTTCCTCCCCCACCAGTCCACAAAGCCAAAAAGGTTGGGGACCGCTACCCTACATGACACAAGAATGAGATGCCTCAATTCTGTGTGCATTCTCATTTGCTCCCTTTGTTTTTCCACAGTGGTATTATTGCTTTATGCCAATCAGTAAGTCCATTAGTTGTGTTCATGCTGTGTTAAAGATTCTATGTAGTCATCTGACCCTGTGATTTAAATTACTGCTGTTGATAGCCTATCTATTCATGATGCTTTGTAGTTTGGTGACTTTTTAACAACTCTTGCTACTTTATCAATCAGTATTTCTGGCTTTAGCTCTATCATTTTGTGGTCTTGTGTTGCTTCTTCATGATACTGTCCTAGTGGGTTGAGGAGCTCTTTGAAGTATTTCTCCATCTTTCTATGATTTCTGATGGTTCTGTTAGTGGCCTTCCCTTCATGTTATAATTCTCCTTTCTTTTCCATATACTTTTGACTACTCTAAAAAACATTCTGCAGGCTAATGTCTATGTTTTTCCAAAGCCCTCTCAGGATTTTTGTTGTGCCTTCTTGATTATCTTGTTGGTATCTGTGAAATCTATAATTTATATAATCTTCTTTTCCTGATTTTATACAACATTATATAACTTTTTTCCCACCTTTACTGCTTCTTTAACCTCTTCACACCACCATGCACTGTATTTGGTCCTATTCCACCTTTTTCCACTTTTCCCTTTTCCATATAATCCTTCTGCAGTGTTAAGCAGGGTAGTTCTGTAAACCTATTCATTCTCCACATTTCCCACCTCTGGTGATAGTGGATAAAATACTGTCTTCACCTTTTGTTCTGTTATTTCTAGCTTAAATTTTGCTATCTTAATTAATTCCTGGTTTTCATTTGGTTTTTTCTGTTAATATTAAAGTTATCATGTCTTGCTGTTAGCTGTACAACTTATGATATATGTCACATAGTCCATTGGGGATAGCTTTTGGATCAAATGTTCTGAACCTTCTTTTTACACGTTAATATATAATCTGTCTGGCTTTTAGGGATGTTGTCATTCCATTTATACCATATTGCGAGTCTCAGTGTTCAAAAATGTATTAATAATGAAAAGATGGTGTTGGTTGCACAAGTCCACTATCCTTTGCCCATTTTTGTTCCTTTCACTGTTCTTAAAAGCAGATGGGCCAATGAACTGTTCATATTCTTTTCTGTTAGTACCTACTCTACTGTTGAAATCTCCCATTACATACAGCATACTCTTAGCTTCCACTTTCTCTATCTTTTAAGATAGTTCATTGACGAACTCATCCATTTATTCTTGTGTGTAATTATCATTGCATGAGGCATGTAATTGTACATATGTTTCAGTTTGTTTTTCTCTCTTGATTTTCAATATTATTATTTTATTTGAATAGCAGTTGATGTCTAGTATGCATTTTGCAGTTTCTGGATATATGAAGAATCCTACTCCATTCTTTGCTGTGGCCCCTCCAGAGTAAATAAACAAGAAGCCTTTGAAAACTTTCTTACTGCCATGTCCTTTACATCTTATATCAGCTAGTCCCATTATCTTGATCCCTCTTTTTTCCATTATTTCTACAATTTCTTCTGTTTTATTCCGCATGGCAGCTGTGTTCAAAGTAGCTATTTTGTTCTCTCTGTTCTGTCTCTTAGTCCTTTAATATTGCCATGGTAATTTTTTGTTTGATCAGTCCATTTGTATTTTGTTATGATTCTGATGCAACTTCACCAGAACTCCTTTAGCAAGGCCATTTCTGGGAGACCCAGGATAGCCATGGCTGCCGTAAAGGTCCTGGGCCACAAAGCTATGCTATACTTTGCCCACTCCTAGCAATCCCTTACTTTCTCCTGTTTCCACCTCCCACAATGTGGACATGGGGTTGGTCTTTAAGAGACAGGTAAAGGAATAGAGAAATAAATACATTTAGATTAATTCATTTTCTGTGGTAATATATTTCTCCATGAATACTATTTCTTCAAATTTTCACAATAGTTTTAACTTCCTCCTTTTAGCTGATGGAGACTATAATTGTCTAAACTATTGATAGCAAAAGATTTTAATTCCCAGTTCAAAATAAAACCATTTTTTTTTAAACCTGGGTACAGCCTCTCTGCTATGAAAGGGTGGTATTTAGAATTGTAGGAATGAGAGAGGCTATTTCAGTAATGACACAAGGAACAGATTGATAGGGATTAAAAACAGCAGAAAGTCCCCTCTCATATTGCCTTTTTGATCTTCCACAAATACACATCTCTCCATCTTTCTTTGAAATTTCAACATCTGTATTTTTCATTGCAAGGGTACATAACAAGGAACAGGAAATATTTTAGGTGAGAGTTGCACTTAAGATGTCATTATTTTTACTTTCAGTCTCTGAGGGTTCAGGGGGCATTTCTCTTGTGTGCACACAGGAAACATATGTTATATTTGGAATTTCTACATAAATAAATTGATTCTTCAACATTTGTAAGAAGCATCTGAAATCTCCTGTTGCCCTTCATAATCCAGATTATCGAAGCCTTGATAAATAACAGTCATCAAAAGACATTTCCATATATCTTTCTGAGACAAAACAAATATATAAATCATTGTATAATGTATTATATGCATTATTCCCTACACTTTCCCTTTCATTTTTTTAGATGGCATTGAGACATGAAGATGATGATGATAGTGGAGAACCTCTTCTTATTGCCTGCAAAGACAGAAGAAGGGCCAGTCTTGGTTCCAGTGAAAGAAGAGGGCTGGAACGTAGGAAGAGCAGGAGGCATTCCATTCAGAGTGTCAAGAATACTTTATCAGCCCCTGCCAGCCCCTTCACTCATTCAAGCCCTAATTTCATGTGTGGCCATAGACAGAGCACTGAAGAATATAGTGAGAAGTAGGTATAGAAATAAGAAATATTCCTAGATTCTTTTTGCCTTTTATATTTTCAAATTTCTGTGACTTATAATTGGCTGATAAAACTTCACACCCACGGTTCTGATTCATTTTGCTTAAAATGACATATACTCGTGTAATATTTTCACAATATACTATTTGCTCAGTTACCAAAAATGAAATAAGGCAAGCAATTAATTCCTAGGGAAATAGTCAACCTGTAGGAGTTGATAGTTTAACAATTTTCCAATTAAAACAAAAAGGAATGAATGGAAACATCTTCTTTTATTTACTGATAAAGTATATGGGGGAAATAAAAATATGGTGGCTTGATGTAATCACAATCATATAAGAATTCAAAAGACTGCAAGAAGCTGCTATAAAAGAAGTTATTTAATGTATTCATTGAAATATATCATTTCAGTGCTGGCTTCTTAATACCTACTTAGCTTTTTAATTAAAAAAATTAGTAACTTCTTTTCAGTTATATAACATCCATATTACGGCAATGTTGCTTTCATGCTTTTTAGAAATCTTTGATCATTTATGCTTGCTGATATATCAACTAATCTTTGTCATTGCTCGTTATTGTGAAGAAGTGCATATTTTAAGGTCCTGCCTCAGCTAGCAGTCCCAGGAAAACAGAATTTCTGAAACTGGCATCATTTCAAAAGGAACTTTTATTGAGAGATAGTGATAGCAGAATTGCAAGGCAAGATCTGAATAATTCTCATGCAAAACAGTACATTAAAACTCTCCTTTTAAACCCCTCCCCAGTGCCCAACTATCCTGTTTGATTTCAGCCAATCCACAGGTGCAAAGTTGTTGTGAGAACCAAAGTGATAAACTGAAGTTCTCAGTCATTTCGTTTTGTTTTCTTCCCGGCCTCTTTCCAGCAGAATAGAAATAAGACACATGGCCCTAGGCACATTCCTCTTCCCTTTCATACCCAGAGAGATGCATCAAAGGTGAAAAGAACAAAGCAAAGGAACTACATCTCAGAGCCCACAGAGCTTCCCCCCTTCCCAAAGAGCAAAACCTCTCCCCTCCCAACAGAATGGCAATACCCAAAAGATAAAATGAAATGAATAGATAGGTCTGACTCATATACTGTAAAGTAAAGGTAAAGTCAGTCGTGTCCAACTCTAGGGCATGATGCTCATCTCTGTTTCTTGGCCAAGGGAGCCAACATTGTCCAAAGACAATATTTGTGGTCTGGGGGCCAGCATGGCTATATACCAAAGATGCACAGAACACTGTTACCTTCCCACCAAGGTGATACATATTAATCTACTTGCATTTTTATGTTTTCAAACTTCTAGATGGGCAGGAGCTGGGGCAAGTAATGGGAACTCATCCTGTTACATGGTACTTGGGTCTCGAACCCAGGGTGTCAGCTCTCCAGCTGACAAGCTCAGCATCTTTAACCACTGAGCCATACTCCCACTGCTACATTTACAGTAATCTGGTATATATTTCAAATTCAAACATATACTTTACATCAAAACTTTTATTTTACAAATTTACCTTCATTTTAAAAATTTGGTATGTGGGAGGGAAGATGTTTTGCCATAAATGTTTATGGTACAATAGTTTTCAAATTTGAAAATCAAAATAGAGTATTTTATAAGACCAGTCTACACAGCTGAGAACGAGTATTATTTTATCTGGAACAGTATAGACATCAAACTATTAATTCAAATGTGACTTGATTTGGTGAAAATTCCATGGTTATGAACACCAATGGATCTTTATAAGCTGGGATGAAGGATATGAAGACTAGGAAGATAGGGAAATCTGGGAGAAACAGGCAATGCAATCTGAGGTACAAAATTACAAAAAAAAATTACATCGTACATTAATTCAATTCAATTTATAGATTGCAATTTTATTCTAATTTTCCAGCTGGAAAATGAGAAATATTAGCTGCTCTCCTTGTCTGTTCTTTATAACTTTTCTTCTCTCACACTAGGTCTAAGTACTTGTTGAACCAGCTTGTATATAAATTTGTATGTCAACATCTTTTCACTCAGTTTCAATCATGGGTTCTCTGCAAAGGGAAGCCTGCTTAGAATACAGAATAACAATTGGAAGAGATCTTGGAATCTTCTAGTTCAATCCCCTGCTCAAGCAGGAAACCTGTATACCATTTCAAACAAATGGCCATCCAATTTCTTTTAAAACCTCCAGTAATGGAGCATTCACAATTTTTGGAGGCAAACCATTCCATTGGTTAATTGTTGTCACTGCCAGGAAATTTCTCCTTAGTTATAAATTGATAAGCTACCCTTTGTTACTTTTTGTCTTGCCCTCAGGTGCTTTGGAAAATAGGTTGTCCCCCTCTTCTCTGTGATGGCCCCTCAACTATTGCAATACTGTTATCATGTCATGCCTAGTTCTTCTTTTTGTTAGATTAGACATATCCAGTACCTGGATCATATGTTCATCCTCCAGTTTCCTAATCATTTTCATCGGTCTCTTCTGCACAGTTTCTAGAATCTCAGCATCTTTTTGAATAGTGTTGACCAAAACTGTATGCAGTATTCCAAGTGTGATCTTATCAATACAATATAATGCAGTGCCAACACTTCACATAATCTTGATACTGTCCCTCTGTTGATAGGACTGCATTGGCTTTTCTGGCAGCTGCAGCACACTGCTGGCTTATACTTAAGTGATTGTCCATTCGGACTCCCAGATTTCTTTTGCAGTTAATGTTGTTGAGCTAGGTATCAGCAATACCTATGCATTCAGTTTTTCTTATCTAAGGTTAATCTTTCTTTTCTCATTAGATTGCATTTTGTTGGATAGTTCCAAATATTCAAGTCTACTAACGTATTGACAATTCACCTCATCTTGTTCTCTGCAAATTTGATGATTCCCCTTATAGCCTTTCATCTAAATCATGAGGCTGAGGAATAATAGGCCTAAGACAGAACTTTGTAGTACCCCACAGCATGCTTCCCTGAATGTAGATATAGTTCTACTGAAGACTACATGTTGAGTGCAGTTGGTCAGCCAATTTCAAATCCATCTGGTAGCAATGCTGTTTATTCCACATTTTTTTGACTCTGGTCTACTGTATTTGTGTGTGTGTGTTTGTGTATACACACACACACACACACACACACACACACACACACACACACACACTGTTCGATTCTAGAGCATGTTGCTCATCTCTGTTTCTTGGCCGAGGGAGTTAGCGTTGTCTGAAGACAATTTTTATGGTCGTGTGGCCAGAATGGCAATACACCAAAGGCACTTGGAATACTATTACTTCCTGGCAAAAGGGTTAAGGTTAGGTCCTCCTTTATGATAACACCCAGAAACCTAAAGCTAACCACTCACTCCACCCGGTTTCCACTGATGATCAGGGGCTGAATATCTAATTTATACTGTATTTATATAGGTCAGTGGTTCTCAACCTTCCTAATGCTGCGACCCTTTAATTCAGTTCCTCATGTTGTGGTGACCCCCAACCATAAAATTATTTTCATTGCTACTTCATAACTGTAATTTTGCTACTGTTATGAATTGTAATGTAAATATCTGATACGCAGGGTGTGTTTTCATTGTTACAAACTGAACATAATTAAAACATAGTGATTAATCACAAAAACAATATAGCAATGCTCGATGGAGAAGCTTGCTCTTCCTTGCTCAAAAATGTTGGGAGGGAGGGAAGGGGAAGGAAGGAAGGAAGATTGAAGGGGAAAGGAAGGAGATGGAAAAGGAAGGAGATTGAAGGGGGAAGGAAGGAAGGAGAAAGAGATTGAAGGGGAAAGGATGGAGATGGAAGGAAGGAATGAAGGAAAATTGAAGGGGAAAGGAAGGAGATGGAGAAGGAAGAAGATTGAAAGGAAAAGAAAGGAAGGAAGGAAGGAAGATTGAAGGGGAAAGGAAGGAGATGGAGAAAGAAGGAGATTGAAGGGGGAAGGAAGGAAGGAAGGAAGGAAGGAAGGAAGGAAGGAAGGAAGGAGAGATTAACGGGAAGGGGAAGGGAAGGCCGAGGCAGCCTTCGATGGTGAGGGAGGCGGGCTGGGCGGCGTGGGGGAAACTCCTGCACGATGCGGAGGGCGGCCGGGGGCAGAGCGCAGCCAGGCAACCAGGAGGCATGGAGACCGGCTCGGCGCCGCAGCTCAGCTCAGCCGGCAGCGGCAGCAGCGGCTTTCTCACCCTTCTCCTCTCCTTCCTCCTGCTGCCCCCAAAGCAGCTCGGGCGGGAGCTGGGAGGAAGAGGGGTGCCTGAGGGGAGCAGCCAGGCTGGCAGGCCACACGGCACCAGCCCCCACCATGGCTCCATTGATGGACGGAGGAGCAGGCCGGGCAGCATGGGGGCAGTGGGGACAGCGGCAGCTGCTGCTGCATCATCAGGGGTCCCCGCCGCCCACATGCTGCCTGGCCTGGTCCTCCGTCCATCAATGGAGCCATGGTGGGGGCTGGTGCCGTGCAGCCTGCCAACCCAGCTGCTCCCCCCAGGCACCCCTCTTGCCCTGGCGCCTGCCCAAGCCGCCTTGGGGGCAATAGGAGGAATAAGGGGAGGAGGAAGAGGATGGCAAGTAAGCTGCCACTAGCACTGGGCCCCAGGAGGCAGCTCTCCTCTTCTACCTTTGCTGAATCTTCTTCTTCCTTCCCAGCAGCCTGGACACTGGCGTGCCTTCCTCGCCAGCGGGTCCAATAGTCAAGCTGGCTGGGGATTGCAGGGGCTGGTCTCCCTTGGGCCGCAGCTTGTGGGAGGGCTGGCCTGCTCAGCAGAGCCTTCAGCAGGCCGCTCCCAACAGGGATCCCGGGGCTTCCCTGGGCAGCTCCAAGGCCACGAGGCCCTGGCCTTGCTTCTCCCAGGGGTGGGGCACACAGGCATAAGACCAATCAGGAGCCCTGCAGGAAGTAAGTCCACCTGAGAGAGAGAAAAGGGAAGCGAAAGTGCCTCTCTGTCTCTCTCTCTGCAAATGGCGGAGGAGGCCATGCGGAGATGGATGTGGAGCGGTGTCTCGGTTCC